ATGCTAATTTGTTTATTTGGTCTTATTTTCTTACTTGTCTGTAATAATGTTTGAAATACAGCTGTTTATGCTGTTGTATTGTTAAAACAATAGGCAAAAGTTACTTGTTTGTTCTGATGATTTTTGTATATGGTTTCCATCTGCAACAGAATGTTTTGCAGAAATACACAGCGTGTTTGATAACTAAACATTTGACTATTTTTTTTTTTTTTTTTTTTGGAATCGAAACTGGGAATCGATAAGCAGGATCGGAATCATAGCCTCTAAAATTCAAACGATGCCGAAACCTAGTTCACAATCCTACTGAGGACAGACATGAGTGCAGGTGGATTCAGCCCAACTTCTAACTTATTCTGAAGTTTACACAGCCGGCAGACCTCGGCCTTCACACCTCCAACTGGCCCAATCACGCAGCTTTAAAGCAAATGGAGATGAAAAGCTCCAGCAATGAGCTTCCTAGGATGAACAACATAACACTGACATGCCTTTTAGAACAAAATAAGCCTGCAGCGTGCAAGTGTGGGCACGACCGGGGAGGAGATGCCTTTGAAATAGGTGAGATTGTATTTGTGTGCATGTGTAGGGTTTGTGGGAAAATAGGTGACTGAGTAATTCTTATAGTCTGACCAAACTACCTTTCTCACACTTTCAAACAAATCACTTCCAAATTACACAACCGCTTCTTGTGAGCCAAACCAAAGCCTGCCTCTGCACACATGTGTCCCACAGACTGATGCTCTTTTTCTCTTTACACTATCAAGCACTTGCCTGTCTTGACAGATACTCACTATGACACACACACAGACAGCAGACATGCTCTGCCAGGAATCCTGCTTGCCTGAGGACGAAAGACTTGGGTAGGGTTGCACCTAAAATGGTCTTATTTAAAATAGGACATTTACACCAGGGACTTAGTTGCTAGAAGTTTGCTTATAATTACATTTCATGAGTTCACACTTACATATAATTTTGAGGGAGTGGGGTGCTGCAAAATGTCAATGGATCGAGGTAAGACTGCTAAGTCTATATGTGCCCTCTTATCATTGATTGCTGAGTGCTGTCCACTCATGTTAATTATCTGAACATGCTCCTCTCGAAATTAGTTGATAAAACTTCATATCTAGTTAATTTGGTTGCATCATTTGCTCTCGAAGCAAAACCCTCCCTCAAGTAATGTGTCAAGTAATGTGCATTTAATTGACCTTTATTGATCCAAGCAGCCTTAAAATGCTGAGCATTTCAGATTTATATTAGTACATTAATAAATCAAATGACTTGAACATCACAAGCAATTTGTTAGAAGTAAACATCAATATACATAGTAAACAATCCCAAATTTAAAGTATAATAAGAGTCATCATAGTAAAGGCCTAAATAATCATAAAGAGTATTAAGATATGAACATTTTGGCTGATAAAGATAATTCTTTATAAATGAAAGCTGATAACACTTATATTAGCCGATAATAAATCCAAATTGTTTTATCATTTTTGAGAGCCTGATAACAAAAAATAAAAGTCTCACTATTAAAAGCCATGTCCCAAACACACAATAATAATGGTCCCATAATTGTATATATATATATATATATATACAATATAGGAAAATCACTGGGTCCCTCAAAAACTAAAAAAAAAAACACTTTCGTGAGAACAGATTTTGCTGAAACGTAGGATGCTGCATGTGTAGACAGTAGACAGCAACACAGCTCAACAAAGCTTTAAAAAGAATTAGAGATCTGCCAACATTGAAATTGAACAAATCTGTTTATATCTCTCTATGCATCAGTAATCTGTATAAACAAGCATCTATATACATGTTTATATTTCAACTCAGATTTCATGCAACATCTCTGTATAAATGTGAACCCATGTGCTTGTGTAAATAGATCAGATCAGGATACCCAGATTTTCCACACAGACTTATAAGGTGCTCTGTCTTTAATAACAGGGGCCAATCCTGCCGCAATCCAATCTGAGAGGCAACATAAAGGCAGGCAATTGTATTGGCACTGTACTTCTTAACACCACAACGGAGCTTATGATGGCACATAAATAATTCGCATCTCTGTCTGTGTTGAATGGCAAAGAGCAGAGCAGTTTCTTGGGCTAAGTCATGTCACATACAGTACTGCACACCTGCCATATTAAAGACACCAAAATTGATGCTGTACGTGCATATACTTATATTCAACAGTACTAGAGTATTAAATGATATACAATGCTATTCTATAACTAGATTGGGGTTACACTTTATTTTTTTAAATGTCTTTATTAGATTAATTAATAGGGGTGTAACAATACATTATATTGTGTCACATATATCGCAATACAAAAATGCAACATGTATCGTGGATAGTGACAATTTTTATTGTGTGTAGTTAACCCAAAATGAAAATTACTGTGCAAGAAAAAATAAGTTTGCAGAGTTTTAGTGTCAGAACTACATTAAGCTACTATATATAATGTTGAATATAATAATGCAGTGGGTAATATTTGTGGGTCCTGATAATCCCAAATGTCTTGTTACCAGTAAAAAGTGGCCGACATTATTTTAAATAAATCTAGTCAGTGACAGTGAAAGCATATTCGTCTAACATAATTATGTATTTTCAGCTTCAGAATCATGAATATTGTTATTCTGGTGTCACTATTGTCCTGTGCTTTTGGGTTTCAAGACTATTAATTTCTACCCAGAATGAAATACCAAATTTTAATCAAAATTAATCAAAAGTAAATTTTTTGTTAACCTTTTATCATACAGTATGTCTTGAAGTATCACATTAATATTGTATCGTGAGTTCAGTATCACGATATGTATCGAAATGTGACATGAGGGTATCGTTACACCCCTATTAATTAAGCATTTAAAAGTTATGGTTAGGGGTCCCACTTTATATTAGGTGTCTTTGAATACTATGTACTAACATTAAAATGAATTAACCCACCCTTACACTTACCCATACTACAAACCAGTTCCTAACCTTAAACGTAACAATAGCAACTAAAGTGTTTTGCAATACAACATCAATACAATAACTACATTGTGCTTATGTAAGTATGCTTTTTATGTAAGTACATAGTGGGTTAGGACACCTAATATAAAAAGTGTGACCGGGTTAGGAGTTGGTTTGGGGTTAGTTGCATGTAAATATGCAATATACAACATACCATGTTTTTACTTCAGAAAGTATAGGCTACATGTAACATGTAACAAAGATACTTAAAATAAAGTGTTACCCTTTTTACTGAGTATAGTGTTCACTGATATTCTATAACTCTGGTATAATTAATTGTTTTGACTGATCTTGAGACATTTTAGAGCGGCCAGGATATATACGATATATGCTCATCGTGTTTGCCAATGAAAATCAAATACCGATTACAAGGTTTAGGATTCAATTGAAAATAAAAAATGGTGTAAAATGTCATAAATAGGTGTAAATGTTATAATAACTCCTGTATATTCAGTTATAATGGTTCCTACTCTCCTGGTCAGGTTCTATATGGCAACTAGTGGCTGTTTTATGATGGTTAATGGTTAATGTTTCTATGAAAGTATCACTGAAATTTTGCTCCGGCTCATATATTTTTAGCTGAAATGTAAGAGCAATAATCTTACATAGTCATCTCAGATCAATTGTACTAAATTATTTAATTATTTTTAATAATAATTTGTATTTAATGACATTTTTATCACATAATTTAGAAATGTTAAGTTACCTAACAAAACATTTTACACTTTAGGCCTATGTGTGGGAACATTTACATGTTACAAAATATCAGATTTACAAATACTGCCCTAACCTTAGGCTCAACAGATTGAAAGATGCAAGTTGTCGGACCGTTTGGCATCAGATTATGTCTGCATTAATGATGGCTGCATGGCTCTTTTCAGCAGCAGAAATATTTATGACAGGCAGCCAACCTCTTTCATTCGCCGTCTCTATGCAACCGGGGTTATCTGAGCATTTATCTGAGGCCTTTGCTGCAGAAATTATGCAGGTGGCTTCAGAGAAAGAGAAAAGTAATACACACACCTGCTGCCTGCGCATGACACGAATGATGCGAAGAGAATGTTCAAGGGAACATACTATGTGTGTTCTCATTTAGGTGAGGGGTTTTATTTTGAACAATGAGGTTGTTTATCAAAGGCAATAAAATATTGCACTGTGACATAATAAACTGACGTCTAAAAACTGACGAGACTCGCATTCTGTGCCACTAGAACAGAACAGTTAAAAGGATAGTTCACCCAAAAATGACAATGTTGTCATCATTTACTCAGCCTCAAGTTGTTCCAAACAAAAACAGTTTCTTTCTTCTGCTGAACACAAAAGAAGATATTTTGAAGAATGTAATCTACAACTTGATGGTAGCCATTGAGTTCCGTAGTCATTGTTTTCAGACTATGGAAGTTTAAATTTTAATTTTAAATTCAGTTTTTGGGTGAACTATACTCTTAACAGTCATAACACTGAGATTTTGGGGATGTTCTTATGGTGTAACTAAATCATTGATTTAAAAAACTGACAGAACTTAAGGAAAGCTAGAGCAGATTACCTCATCAACAATTATGTTTTCTAGCATCTATTTGAAGACAGGTGAAACACCCTCTGGTCAACCTGTTACCTAACTTGTGTAGCTACTGAACATTTACTACAACAACTGAAATGAGACTCATATAGGTGTATGAAAAAGACAAACCTCTTCACCCTACAACATTTTACTTTTAACTGATAACCTCCAAATTTTTAACCCCTCAACTGTTGGTGGGTCAATGAAAATCATTTGGACTAGTAAGTAACAATATAACTACCAGTTGATCCTACTTGCTGGTTTTTAGAATATGGTGGCAGTTAATGACCAGGCTGGCCAATTATTTAAACGTGTTCCAAATCACAGCGGCCATTAAATGGGTTAACTTGTTTGGGGGTTAGTCTACCCTCTATAAGTCGCAACCTGAAAACAAACAAACAAACAAACAAAAATCTATATTACCCAGTCCTCGAAGTGTTTACTGCCGTTATGCAGCAATTCCTCGAACTGAATGGTGCAGTTTGCTACAAAGTCGTCGTAGCCAATCGGCGCGTCATGAAACACCGACAGCTCGATCTTCCGACCGTCGTGCACCTCCGTTACAAACTCATCTTGCCAGACGGGACTGTTGGTCTTCTGCTTGGTCGAGGTCTGACCCACGCGAAAATCATCAACGTTGAGTGCGATGTACGTGTCCAGCAGGAAGGTTTGCGTCTTGGGGCCGACGGCGTGTCTCAGAGACCAGGCTGTGGGCTTCAGGTCCAAAGCCTCGCTGATCTTAATCTTCAGCAGACCGTTAAAGACCACCATGGCCACTTTCGAGAGCTTTAAGTACGAATATTCCACTTCAGCGCCTGGTTAATTATTCAACCAGTGTGTCACGGTCCACCGGTTTGATTTCTGGATTGTTTCTCCTTAAGAAACAACGGCAAAATGCCCTTCGTCGTCCTCGTGGATCTGCATGCAAAGCGTAGAAGGTCCAGACAGAGAGGAAATCTATTGCTGTGACCTACGCATAACCTGCATGTGATCTTGAAGCTGTCCAAACACCCCTGTAGGCAGTCAATGCAAGTTGGAGCGAAAAAGCAGAGCTACGGTGTGTCAGCACCGATACGACCAGCATTCCACACCTCAAAATATGCCAGAAATATATGCTGGATCTCCTCAGGGTGAGCCTGTTCCCTCGTCTGACTGGAGCGCTGCTGGATGCGTCTCCTCCGCGCATTGGGGGGAAAGTTATCCCCGCGAAGCGTCGTTCGATCCCCCCAGACTGGAGAACGTGGACGAGTGTTTTCAAGGTTCCGTACTCGCTTGCTTCTCACAGGATTCTTGTTTGACCGTCGGTACTCAGTTTCCTGCAGACCTGCCTTTTTTTCTCCTGACTGTGTGTGTCTGAAGGCTGGTCCAGGAAATGCGCAAAATACGTCAGTTAGTGCGCGGAGAGGGTTGAGTGTGTGCGGCGCTGAAGCGGCCCTTCTGGACCCGCTCTCTGGTCCAGCATCATCCACTGGGCTGTAAAGATGTGTGTGTGAATACCAAGTGTGAATAATGCAAGTCTCGCAATGCAGACGACCATGTTCTTAGTCAGAACTGAATATTTCTTTGTCGAATTTGATCATGAATGATATTTGAACATAATGGTATGGCCCCATAGTGATATAACCATTTCTAGAATCATGTATTATTGGTCTTTATGGGTGTTATCGTCATCTTGCATATGGATGTTTACAATGCATAGCATACTGACAGTACTACACTGCACTGTAATCAACCCTGTTTTTTTCCGCCCCTTCCACCAATTTTACTGATGATCGAGTTGAATATCCAAATTCGAGTAAAAATGACAGCAAGTTAAATGGATGCACATTGTGTTATGACCTATGGTTATGACATACGGAAAAAACATGTTTGTGATGTAATTGCAAGTGAAAAACACTTTTGACAACTGAGGACAACTTTGAAGTTGAAAATGTGTTATTTGGAGGTCCAGTTTATCATAAGTCAAGCAAAGCGCCATCTCGTGGATGGAATTTCCATTACAGCAGCAGGCTTAGATGATGCTGTATGATCAAATATATTATTATATTATATATGAGTAAAGTATTATGAAAGTATTGTAAGAAACGTGTACTGACCACTGAACTATCGTTCATTTAAATGCCTGAGTGTTGTCAATGGCGCATATGAAAGCACATAGTGCCTACAGATTTATTGTGTTTTACAAAAGCTCAATAGTGCAGAACATTTTATTTAGGAATCCGTGATCCTGGTGATTGGAAAATTGAGGTGACTGAGATACTCGGTCTGTTTATCATTTAAACAAATTTTACTTTTATCATAACGTTTAAGATTACATGCTAGTTCGCTCAACAATGACAATTCTGTCACCATTTACTCAGGTTGTTCCAACCCTATATACATTTATTTTTTTCTTCTTCTGAACACAGAAGATGATATTTTGAAAAATATGGGTAACCAACATTGGGGAAAAAATATGGGGGGGAAAAATACTATGGAAGTCAATGGAACCCATCAAATGTTTGGTTGTCAAATATTCTTCAAAATATCTTTATTTTGTGTTCAGCAGAAGAAAGAAACTCATACTGGTTTAGAACAACTAAACGATGACAGAATTCTCATTTATGGATGACCAATTCCTTTAAATCATATTTAGTGAGTCTTGAAGTCCAGAAGGTGGCAGTGTCCTTATACAAGACCGTAAAGGTACATGCATCATGTTGCTTTGCCTTTCTAACTGTAAGCTTCTTTTGAGAAGATTGTTTGATTTATATCAATTTATTTCTATAAATTGTAGTTGAGCGTTTTATATGTAAAGCGTTTCATACTCAGAAAAGCGATATATAACAAATAAGTCTTAGAATCAATAAAGAGCAAAATTCTGCTGGATAATAAGATATTAATATTACAAGTTTTACTTAACAAAATGATCGCAACTTATCTATATCTTAATAATGTTTTTTTTTTCTTCTTTTTTTCATTTAATATTCAACAATAAACTGATCTGTGTTGTATTATTTTCATGTTATCACTGTGAAACTGCTTTGATATATATATATATAAATGGTAAAGAATGGCTTAAACTTTCGAAAACTCAATTTAATGCAATTCATTTGGAACTGTGTTCTTTTTGTCCCAGATACGAAAATTAGATGAGTGATGTCTGCTGGAGGATGAATGGTGATGTTGTTTGGACTTCAGGACTTTCCCCCGAGGCTGATTCTCATCCTGCAGTGACATTAGTCAAAGATGTTCTTGCTCACACACTATATGGCCTCACACGACACGAGTCTAGCATGTGGTGTGAGTCCAAATGATGACATCACCAAATGAATGCCCCTTTGAGACATTGATAGTGCAGGGTTTATAAGTGTGTATAGGCTCTGTGTTGCAAGAATAGAAGCGGCCATTTAGGGCTCTTTGAGGGTCTTAAAGCTTACTTCATTCCACCCCCGAAATGCCAGCGTCGATGTTCATATACTTAGTGCATCAGAAATCACTGTCGGCAACTGCCAGTAGACATCAGACCTCTATGGACAATGCTTCTTTGTTTGAACATAAATAGACACATGAGAGGCCATTCTCAACAAACTTAAACCCCATGACAAGAATCATACATAACATGGCACATTCAATTTTGTGCATCAGTTTGGATTTGTATATATGTAAAAAAAAATAATAATAATAATAAAAGCATAACATGCCCCATAAGTCAATCAAAACACACGTGTCTTGTCTAATAAAGCATATAGGCCTACATTTATGGCTGAGCATTTTTAGTCCGGTGGACTTTTAGTGTCCCTTAAAACAGTTTTTGCAATCTGATGCACAATGTCAAATAGTGGACATTTAGCATTTTCCATTTCCCATTTCCCTAAAATATCATGTCCACCACACTTTCCTTCTCAAATTAATGGTATAATTTTAAACGGCATGTGGTGCAAAATTACGTACATTTTAAACATTTTTGTAATATAATAGCAATTATGGTTTTAACCTCATTATCGTGTTTATTTTACACACTTGCTAGTTTATGTTTCCACAAAAAGAACATTTTTTTTTTTTTTACAAAATTAAATTCACAAAATCACAGCTTAATTGATAATGATACACAATAAAAATATTCTGACTCTATTATAACATTATACAATATTTTAAACAGGTAATCAAACACACTCAAGATATGTGTGTGTTAGATTTATTTTTCTGCTTCAGAAAATAATTTTTATTTATATAGCTAACCTAGGCCTATTTGTTTGTATTATTATTTTAGCCTATTTAAATATTATACATAGGCCTGTTATAGCACATTCATAATTCATTAGGCTACATTAATTATTTTTTTGTGATATTTTCAAGTTTCCTTTTAAAAATTAATGACGGCATGAATCACTCTTCTATTGATAAGCAATACACACACAATGTGCGGTTAAAGGCAACAGATGGCTACTTTGTCTGATTGACTATAATCATTAATCATTCATCCCTTGGCACTCATGCATTATCTCGGGTCTCCACGTTTTCAGGGTGGCAACCGAGGCAACGCTCTCTCGAACTGCGCTCTCATTGGTTGGCCACCACGCTCGTCACTCCCCCATCCGTCGGAAGTGCTTTCTCGCCCTGCGTCTCACTACAGTCTCAACTCGCTGCAAGCTCGCGCTGTCGGCCTGTTCTTCATGCGTTTGTTTGGCTTGTCAAGCAGAAGTATGGGCTCAGTGGATCGGACATTGGCCTTGGATTATGCTGCCGTTCCAGCCGACCAGAATGATGCAGGATTCGGTTGTTCTCCTGCTTTATAAAAGCAAACCTCGGGAATGAGCACTTCTGCTTCTTCGCTCGTGTTTTATTCGCCAGGGCTGAGCGTAGGCTATATGGGACAGTAGCGAGCCTAACAGCTTTAACAGCCTTCTTTTGTAGACAAAAGAAGGCTGCGAAGTAATATTCACAAATTCAAGAGGTAAGTACGCCGATTTGCGTCATGCATTCTCTGGATTGCAGTGTTTTACGCATTTTAACGCGCTTTTATTTTTATACGCGATTTAATGTAACGGAACGCGTGTGATGTCACCGCTGGTTTTGCATGTTTCCCCTCTACGAATGTTATAATGTAGCATTCCAACATCCTCCCGTCTCTCTCTCTCTCTCTCTCTCTCTCTCTCTCTCACGCTCGCTCCCTCTCCACGTTGCTCATTCACTCATACCTGGGCACCACTTAAAATACTCTAAAATAGATTTAATTCACCAAAGTGATGCTGATTGTTATATATCATTATGCGTTGAATAAAGTGAGCAGCGATATTTTGTTAGCACAGAGGGCAAACTATACTAACATTTGCAATTGTTCTCAATTCACCCAAAAAGGAAAATTAGTCCTTAACTACTCACCCTTATGTCGTTCCAAATCTTCTGTTCATCTTCGAAACAAATTATTATGGATTGAAATCTGAGACTCTTCTGTCCCTCCATAGACGGCTACGCAACTACCACTTTGTCGCTTCAAAAAGTTTATAAAGAGATTGTAAAATTAATCTAAATGGATTGAGCGGTTTAGTCAAAGTTTTCTGAAAACTGAACCGCTATGATGAATGGATTAAATGTAGGCTTTTATTCGCATATAAACATTGATCAGTGAATATAATCAGTGAAACCTCATTGGTTCTTGGGAAGCTCAAACGTGCTGCATTATGCACGAGAATGATCCTCATTGGTTCTCACGTGTCAAATGATCATGCTTGATCTTCTGTTTACCACAACTGTGTGCACTCACTGCCCTGATGAATTTTTATTTGAATAAAAGCCTAAATTAAATCTGTTTGTCATTTAAAAGCAACCGTGTCTCTTCTAAAAAATGTTTTACCAAACTGCTCTAGCTTCTAGCAACTGCTTTCTGTAGCGTCAAAGTGGTAGTTGCATAGCTGTCTATGGAGGGACCGATAGCTCACAGATTTCATCAAAAATATTGTCATTTGTGTTCTGAAGTTGAACGGAGAATGATCTTGTGTGTTTGGAATGACATGAGTGTGAGTAATTGATGACAGAATTTTAATTTCTATGTGAACTATCCCGCAGTGACAGATCTACTTCAGAGCAGTCAGGTGGTTCAGTTTCTTATCTTTCTCAGCAGCATCTAGTTTGTAGCTTACTGATATCACTTGAGTCCTAGTTATGGGTAGTTATAACGTGTCCACCTTCAAGATGTTTGTTTGAAATATATAGGACTCTATAAGGAAAATTTAATGGCTTGCGACTGCCGACTGGTCACCATTTCTTTAACGTTTCCCCACATTTTTAATACTCTTTTTTTTTTTTTTCTTTTTTTTTTCATTTGTTTTAGATGGACATTGTGGCAGAGTTTTTTATAAGGAGACACATTCCACATAGTTCCCCATATATTTTAAGAAGAGTGGTTGATCTGTGTATTCATTTCTCTTTTGCTTTATTGTGTGGCACTCATTTAAGTTATTTCATTTGTTAATAAGGTTAATCAGGGTTTGCTGTTGCAATAAACAGAGTTTTTGTCTCTCTGCGTAATGGTCTGCAAATAACTATTTCTAACTTTTACATTTTTTTTCTCCTCTCTAAAGAAAACGCACTTCCGCCCTTTAATGTTGTCCAAAAGCCAGGCCACTCATCTGGACCCCATGAGAATAGGCGTGTCGAACTGAGAGAAAATTGCAGAGGATATTTTCTGGGTTTAATATGGGGCTCCTTAACAGTCATAGTCTAACGTTATCTGTCCAGTTTTCTCTTTAGAGTGAAACACTAGCTCAGCTATATTTTCATGAGGTCCTTATAGATTTCTGTTGTAAATTTTCTCTGATTATAATGTTTCTTTGTGTGTTGTTGTCATGTCTGTAGTTTAACACCCTTTTTCCTCCATTTCTCAGTCTTGCTCGACACACTTTACTCTTCCCACACATCGCAATACATTCAACCCATCCATGCATTAGGTTTTTTTTTTTTGGAAATTGCATTAGCATACAGTATATAATCAATAAACTCTTCTTTTGGGTCACTTCAGTGGATACTTTAGCATCTTCTTTGGCTATGTATATCAGTCATAATCCGAATTTTATGCATATCCGATCAGATTTAGCAAGTGTGCACGGCAAAAATATCACGTGAAATCCGTTTCGAGCTACATTCATATGTGAAATCCAGCTTAAATTGCATTTTTGCAAATCATTTTTCACGTGGTTTATGTGACTTTCTCACACAGATGTTGTTATAGGAAACATGCTAAAGTCGCTGAAGAAACAAGGTTGTGTTGTTGCAAAGTACTGGTTGAGCAGAAAATGACAATATAACTTATGCCTGGTTCAAATTACACGATTTTAGGCCGATTTGGCGCGATCTCTTTGACGTAGGGTGCCGTAGGTATTCGTGAACGACAACAGGCATTGGGACGCAAAATTCGATAGTATCTCGTATAGTGTGTCATAGTGAGCGACAACCTACTTCACGTTTGCGATGCATTCACGACAAAAAAAACTAGCATGTTTAATTTTTTTAACGGTCGTCTGCGACAGTTCCGTCACATGTATGAGGTTGACCAATAGGTGCACAGCAGAATGGCGAAAGGAAAGAGAGACAATGGTGCTAACGTTAAAACTAAAAGTAAAAAATATATAAGAAAACAATATTTTACCTCAAGTTCTCTTTGGAGGATTAACAGCCCATACTGTCCTCTTCAAGCAGGGTTCTCAAGTCTCACACAATGGCCGTGAGATGCACACAATTCAACCAGTTCACACGCTCTCAAGCCACACCGTGTATTTCTCACGCTGAAAAGGCAATGCCGAGCAATCCAGGAACGTGTCCATTGTCGGGTTTTCTTTCTTTTTTAATTTTTTTCTGAACACAAGACAATACAACACTCACCGCTTCATCCATTGTTTGTTTATGTTCGTTTCCGGAAGTCACTCGCTACTAGTTTCGCGTTCTCGATGACATCACGCGCGGCGTTAAAGACAGCATGCGATGACTGGTCAGGAAGCAACGTGTATTGTATCTTGTCCAGTCCACGACACGACAAGATTTTAGGAGTCAAAATCGCGTAATCTGACACAATGACTATCGTAACAGACAAAAAAAAAAAACGTGTCATCTGAACCAGGCATTAGACACGTTTTGAAACCGGCAGAGATGACAGCACGGAATGGTCACGCATTACCTGGCGCCTCCTACGTTTCTGCCGCTGCCTCAGAAGATCCAGTAGTCCAGCGCAACAGCTACACATTGTCATGTTGTAAATAAGTCAACATCTCTATTGCAAATGGAAACCCCTCCATGTTGCGGTTGTCGTCGTTGTTGTTTTTGGCGTATACCTACCAACACAACGCCTAACTAACATTTGCAATTGTTCTCCAATGAAAATTTAAAGGGTTAGTTCAGCCAAAAAGCAAAATTAGTCCCACAAAAAAAACACATTACACTTAATTTTAGCATTTTCTCGCCCTTTTGAGTGCCATGGGCAAAGCATGCGTGGAAATAGAAATCCCAGCCCAGTTTCAGTTAAACTTAAGTGTGTATTAAACTATAAAACTCAAACCATAAACTCATAACAATGAAACGGTTGTTTACTTAAAATAATATACCAGTTATATGAACTTGAAAGAAAAAGAAATGGCTAAATACGCATAAGTTAATTTGACTAAACAAATTAGTTTAATTAAGTTTGTCCTACTCAGACCAATTAATTATTTTGAGCGTTAGGGTTTACAGTACGAGACGGGCACAAACAAAGGGATTACTCCAGCAACACAACGAAAGAGATGCCTCTGAGGATTCCAAAATGTTTTCCAGTGCCAAGCTGTGCGAAAACACAGTCTTTGCATTGCCATCCTTGTAATCCTAACATTAAGAAAACGTGTGGATGAACTTTATTTTAAGGGTGTATTCACACCAGGAAAGTCCGATAGTTCACTTGCTTTGGTCCGGACCAAATAAATTATTATTATTTATTTTTTTTGGTACGGTTCGCTTTCACACTGCTCTTTTTGCAAGTGAACCAAAATTTGTAAACCAAACCACACGTGTGCAAAGGTCGTCCATTCATTGGACAAGGATTCTCAAGGGAAATCAGGAAGTGCAAAAAGGCTCGCGTTGGCATGGAGATATTTCCATATATTTCATACTGCAATATTTGTTCTTTTACTAATTTTGTGTTAATTCTGTACAAACGCAATATGAAGAGACTAATGAGTATCATATGATACAATGTCATCTATACGAAGTTGTAATTCGGATTTTGAGAAGACGACGAGTGTAACGTTTGAGTGGCTCTATAAACGCGGGGAAATACGACAACTCTCGTCTCTCGTGCATCTTTTCTTTCGACCACCTTCTGTTTTTTTTTTTTTTTTTTATCTCTGGGCAACATCTGAACTTTGCGTTACAAGTGGCACTGCACAGAAGACGGAGAAGGTATAAAGTTTTCATTATGTTCACCCATTCAAATAATGAGATTCTTATTGTGTACTAACAAGTGCTGTCAATGTTAACGCTTGCGATTAAGTTTGTCCAGTTTAACGTAAATTAACGCATCTTCATCCTTGTATTGTAACTATCCTTACATTAATAATAATAATAATAATTCATTACATTTATATAGAATCTTTTCGGCACTCGCTTTAAGGGGGAAACTCGTCAACCACCACCAAAAGGTGGTGAACTGCAAATGCTTTATGAACTGCAAATGATATTTTTTTTTTTGCATCTTTGCGCGATTAGACATTCACACAGGACGCGCAGAAAGACGCGCAATATCCTCTTTCGACACAGTGCTTTCTTGCAGTTGGGTCGGTTCATGTTCACACCGTAAACGAACCGTACCAGAGTTCGTTTGGAACCGTACCGAGACCACCTCTTCAGCTGGGTCTCGGTTCGGTTGTTTGGTCCGCACCCGAGTTCGATTGCTGTATTCACAACTGCCCAAAAGGTCCGCACCAAGGGGGC